ATATTAGATCTTTGAAATTGTGTGAATTATGTATGAATTTCACATCAGGATTATGAAATAGATGTTATGAAATATTAGTTATGCACAGGATAATGGATCTGATAAGAGTTTAGAACCACTGGTTTTTGTCAAGCATCTAGGCTGGGTCTGTGGTTTCACATCTTTTTATTTTTTGGTGCAACTGACACTCAAATATTGGTGGCATAATTTTTATTTTTAGATGCAAAACTGAGGTTAAGGTTGTTTCCTTATTTAACTTATAAACAAAGCACTTTCCTTAAACTGCTCAAATAGGTCTGCAATATAATATTATCCCACTGGCTGAGTACTTAGACCACAGCCTATGGCTTCAATAATGGGTTTTCCAGAAACTGCCTCAGGACCATTTGTCCTTAGGAGCTCTATTCCCAACTGAATTTAGAGGCACACACTGTTCCCAGATGCAGAATGCTGCAAACTCACCCTGACAAGACAGGCTCGATGCCCAATGTCACCTCAAGTGAGATGCAGACTAACCAGTATCTTGAGGGTCCACAACATACCAGGCACATTAAAGCTTGTTATTTCATTACTGGCATAAGAAAATCTTGTAGTCATACCCCAGTTTAATTACCAGACTTTGCCTGTGGATAATGGCAAAGAGCTTCTGAACAAAAGGTAACTTAATTTACTCAACATTTACCTCTACTGTTTGTTTTTTTAAAAAAGATATGACCTTAATTCAGTACCAAACATACTTTCTTCTAACATCTTCCTTTTCCCCTAAAAATATGTATTTGAGTCTAAAAAGGCCTTTCCAATTTATACTTTCTCTCCAAAAAGTAGCTTGGCATCTTCACTCCAAAATGCCAAGCTTTAAAAAAAAAACAGAGTCCCACTCTTGTGGCCCAGGATTGAGTGCAGTGGCACGATCTCAGCTCACTGCAACCTCCACCTCCCTGGTTCAAGGGATTCTCCTGCCTCACCCTCCTGAGTAGCTGGGATTACAGGCACCCACCATGAGGCCCAGCTAATTTTTTGTATTTTTAGCAGAGATGGGATTTCACCATGTTGGCCAGGCTGGTTTTGAACTCCTGACCTCAGGTGATCCGCCCGCCTTGGCCTCCCAAAATGCAGAGATTCCAGGCGTGAGCCACCGTGCCCAGCTACCAAGCTACTTACCTTTTTTTTTTTTTTTTGAGATTAAGTTTCTCTTTTGTCGCCCGGACTGGAGTGCAATGGTGCAGTCTCTGCTCACTGCAACCCCTGCCTCCTGAGTTCAAGCGATTCTTCGGCTCCGGCCTCCTGAGTAGCTGGGATCACAGGTATGCGCCACCACGCCCAGCTAATTTTGTATTTTTAGTAGAGATGAGGGTTTCTGCATGTTGGTCAGGCTGGTCTCAACTCCTGACCTCAGGTGACCCACCTGCCTCAGCCTCCCAAAATGCTGGGATTACAGGGGTGAGCCACTGCACGGGCAGTACTACTTTAAGTTACAGCAGGTTAGTAGGTGTTAACTTTTATTGTTTCAAGAGAAGAGGCTTTGGTGTTCTGCAAGACTAGGAGGGTCGAAGTGTTCGACTCACGGTTTTTAACCAGGGATGATTTCGTTCCCCAGAGGCCATTTGGCAACATCTCAAGACACCTCTAGCTATCCCAACTGGGGGAAGGGAGCATGTGTGCTACTGCCATTAGTGGGTAGAGGCCAGGGATGTTGCTTAACACCCTACACTGCACAGGACAGCTTCCGCAACAAGTAATTATCTGGTCTTAGATATCAATAGTGCCAAAATTGAAAAATCCTGCTTCAGATCCTTAAAATACCTGTTTCTACTGAAGAAACCACCAAGCCCTCCCAGCTGGCTGGAGATTCCCACTACAAATTACTGGTGCAGCTTTGCTTGCCAGAGGGCTAACAGCTGGCTGCAATTTCCTTCCAGCAACTGTTCTCCTGCCTTGAAAGGTTGGGCTCTAGCCCTGGAAAACTGAAATACAAGACTGGTTCCCCAGGTCACATAGACTTTAAACACCTTTCTGATTAAAAAGCAAATGAAAAGGAAGAAAAAGTTTCTTCTGATCACAAAACAACAACAAAAAACCCTCAGTGTAAAAAACAAACAAACAAACAAAAAAAAACGGTACAATTGACAGAAATAGCATAAAAATTAAAGGGCACAATCCCACTACCTAGAGATGGTTAACACTTCAATACATATTCATTTCCTAGCCATGCATTATCTATCGACAAAAAAGGGGGCCAGTATACTATAGTTTGCCACTTACTTTTTCTCCTTCATGATGCATGTTGCACATCTATCCATGCCTCGCTGTATGGTATTCCACTGCACAGACAGCCATCATATTCGATGAAGTCCTTGTTGACAGTCATGTGGATTACTTCCAATGTTTTGCTATACAAGGAATGTGACACTGAAAAACATTATACTTTGTGCACTTGGGAAGACCCCCTTTTTTTTTTTTGAGATGGAGTCTTGCTCTTGTCGCCCAGGCTGGAGTGCAACAGCACAATCTTGGCTCACCGCAACCTCTGCCTCCTGAGTTCAAGCAATTCTCCTGCCTCCCAAGTTGTTGGGATTACAGGCACTCGCCACCACACCCAGCTAATTTTTTTTTTTTAGTAGAGACGGGGCTTCACCATGTTGGTCAGACTGGTCTTGAACTCCTGACCTCGTGTTCTGCCTGCCCCAGCCTCCCAAAGTACCGGGATTATAGGTGTGAGCACAGCCACTGTGCTCAGCTAATCTTTTTTTTTTTGAGACAGGGTCTCAGTATGTTACCCAGGCCGGAGTGCAGTGGCACCACCATGGCTCACTGCAGCCTTGAACTCTGAGGCTCAAGAGATTTCCCACCTAAGCCTCCCAAGCACCAGGTATGTGCCACCACACCTGGCTAATTAAAAAAAATTTTTCAGTCCCCAGCAATGTTGCTCAGGCTGAAGGCTTCTGAGAAGTATAAATGCTAAGTGTAAAGGGCATGTATATCATTAAAACATATCTGTATTATAAATAAAATTTATTTATTCAATTTATTATTTGCATATTCATTAACCAAGTCCTTGCAGCTACCAAATTGTATAGAGAAGTGAAAGTCATCCCGATGTGAAAACATTCACTAATGAGCTATTTATAAAAAATTTGTCCCTCTTTGCTTCTTAAGTACCTGAACCCAGAGTATTTATCCTGCCCACTGTATTGTGATCTTTTGTTAGTCTCTATGGTTATATTGTAAGCATATGACAAATGACACAAATAGAATGCAACTTAATTGCAATAATCACAAATCTTGCAAATGGTGGTGGATTTGATGAAGTAGATAATAATGCTAGAAAACTGCTCAAACCTCAAGCAAAAGCCCTGAAAAGTGTGAGTGACAGACTCAGACCAGTTAAAAAAAGGCAAGGTGAGGAGGTAATCACTGATAGATACTTATAAAAAAGAATGATGTGAGTATCCAAATATCAAGAGGCCCTCTGAAAATTGATGAAGCCCTCAAATGTTTTTGCAAAACTTCCTCCTATTATGTTGGAAAAATCAAATGAGATTATTGTAAGATACAAAATCAGTTTTACTTCAAAAACAACTTGATTTCATTATTTATCAGAATACATCTTAAAAATTATGAACATGCTTTTATCATTTTGTTCCATTTTCATGATTAAAGTCCCACTCAGACTTCCCCTATTCCCCAATGTCCACCACATACTATGAAATTTTGGTCCCTGTTTTAAGTGGACTCACTGATGTCAACTCTCCTTGAGCTGAGCAGGCTGTCTTCTCAGAAGCCTAGGAAGAAGGCTGCTCTCACGTCTGGTGTGTGAAGGCAAAATACTCCCTACAACTGTCTGATTCTTACAGGAGCCAAAGGACCCCACGTAACAACCAGGGTCCTTTTCTCTCACCTCCTTACATAGTCACTGGGATTGGAAAGGAGTCTATGCTTGGTCTGCCTTCTATCACTGCCTTCACTCCCAGCTGCCCGCCAGGGCCCGGGCAAAAACCCAGCTGCATGTTCTCAATATCCTCATACGCTGACACCCACAATCTACCGTGGGACACCTGCTGGGTGTCATTCCAAGGACACTAAGAAAGGAAGCACATCAGCAGAGTGCCTGAGAACTCAGTTGTGAGACCCCGTGGCTTTTCATCCCGTGATGTAACTCGGTTGTTCTGAAGAGTATTTTCAAGGACCATAGCCAGCTAAGACAAAACAGTCATAAAATACATCCACTTAAAAGCTCACAATATACACATATATGTAGAAACCCAACATTCTCTCTGGCAGTTTTGCAATAAAAATACATGGCTTATAGATAGTCTCAAATGTCAAAGATGGAAAAAAACTTGAACTTCACTTTATAGAAGAGAAAACTGTAGCCCTGGGCCAAGGGTCAGCAGATTTCTATAAAGGGCCAAATGGTAAATGGTTGCCCTTTTGGAGGTCATCTGGTCTCAGCTGCAACTCTACACCTCTGTAACTGTAGCATAAAAGCAGCCACAGACAATAATACATAAACAAATGAATGTGGTTCTGTTCTCAAAAAACTTTATTTATAGACACTGGAATTTAAGTTTTACATTACTTTTCACATCCTACAGAAACTATTTCTTTTTTTCCCCCAATCATTAAAAAATGTAAAAGCCATTGTTAGCAGGCTATACCAAACAGGTGGTGGGCCGGATTTGGCCCTAGGCCACAGTCTGTTGAGCCCTGTCTTCTCCGCCACTCTTTCACTTGAGTGTAGATAAGACAGGCCCCGGCACTTAATATCTCATTCATTTGCTCCGGGCTTTACCCATCCACAGCAAAGACCTAGATACTCTTCACCAAAAAATGTACAACTAAGGAGCTTTTGATAAAGCGTCTGATAAATGTTGGGAGTAATATTAAGATCTGTCAGAAAAGTATGTCGGGTCACGGTTTAAAGGATATTGACATAATGCCATACTGTGCATTAAATAAAAACAATTAAGAGAAAAATAGAATGAACTTGAGAAACTCACTGAATTTGAAAAATAGGCTTTATTTTAACCAGTGGTATTGTCTGACATCCTATATGGCATAACTGATTACAGCCAAGTTCATGACTACAAATAAAATAGCAATTTCCCTCATTCTCTCTTTTGTTTTCTGTTCAGAGAAGTCAGGAGATGGGAGCATTATGCTCAGAAACCGAAGAGCTCTTCCGAGATCTCCAGCGTAGAGTCCAGGCTTCCGAAGCATGCAGCCTCCTAACACGTATGTGGTCACATGTGCAAAGACCTTTATTAAAAAATATTCAGAGCAGTATTTCTGTAGGAAATCACACTAGCATTTACAACCAAACATGGCTGATAAAATTGATCTTGCTGTGGATGGTGAGGATTTGAACTGCAATAAAGGAGATGAGGCCTTTACGTTTGCTTTCCTTGAAAGGGGGAGAGTCCCAGCTGAGAGGGAATCACCATCAGCCTGCCTCCTTCCTTCTTGCTCCAGTTGACTCAGGGGGTCCACCCTGTCCCTCTGGAGTACATGTATCACTGCACTGATTGAGAAATGGGAACACCTTGGCCCAAATACAAGATTCTGTCACACAGCCAAACTGGAAGTGACTTTATACTTTCTTATTACACTAAAGGCTTAAGTATACGAGCCCTCATGAAGAACAAAATGCCTGAAATTCAGAAAGTTATGAAAACAACTCTTCTCCACCCCTGAGGATATGTCATCTTTATAAAGTTGCAAATACAAAATATTAAAATAATTTGCCCTTTCTCCCCATCAAAAGGAATCACATTCTCAAAGGATTCCTGCAATATACAAAATTCTGAAACAAAATTTATTTTTCCCCAAACCAAGAAGTCAATGTTAAGCTGCCAAGAAGACCCTTTTCCATAGAAGAGTGGAAAAGACACCTTGTTACTTTTTTTTTTCGTTTTAAAGTAACCATATTTAGAGAAAGATAGCAAAAGGAGTTTCTGGCCTCATGAGCTTTAACCTTTTACTTTGATTTTCAGCATTTCTGAGCATTAGTTATCGGGAGTGAAGAGAATAACTTGTTTCCAAAGTTTGGGATATTCCTGGGAAAAGCCCTGATCTTTCCCATGATAGCTCCCCAAAAATAGTTTGTTGAAAACAGATGGCATGAGTGAAAATGCTGTACATCCATCTGTTCCTCTTTTCATGGTTTTCACATCAAAAGCACCTGAAGTATCAATTGTGTTCAACACAGAACAGCACTGGGGCTCAAGAGAGGATGATGTCACTTGCTGTAACATCAGCTGAGGTGACATGGGATCTAAACTATCCAAGAAGTCTTCACTGGCAAACCTGCCTGACACCAGGGCCTCCTGAAGAGAGCAGGACAAGCAGCTGTGCATGCTCAAATAGCAAGACGTGCAAAACACATCCTCACTCCGCTAGAAATAAAGAGTACACAGGAAGTACATGACATCAAGAACCTGCTTCTGACTACTGGGGCAGATATTCAAGAAACCTCTGCACCGAACATGAAGGGTAAGCAGAGAAATGGCAACACCTGGGGGTGAGGGAGAGAGACGCACATATATGCATGCGCTCACATGCACATATGGCCACCTCTGAAGGCTGCCTGGTTACTCCAGGCCCACAGGCAGCTGTCCTATAGCCCTCTCAACTTGCCAGGCTCAGAACTTCAGCAGCTGCAGTCTTTTAACTATCTATACTTTTTTCTCTCCTCTTAAGGCACAAACATATTTACAGTTTCAAATACACCTGTCAAGTTCTGAGAACCATACTAAGCAAGTTAATCACAGGCTAGTGCACAGAAGCCGGTTGGTCCTTTTTGGCTGTACGCATCACTGAGGGATGGTGCCAGGTCTGAAGCAGCCAGAAGATGTGGGCCTTCTCTCCATGCCACTGTGGGATGTTGTCAAAGTCTACCCCCCCACCATCAAGGTGGGATTCCAGGAGAAGTCAAAGTGGCAAATGCAGGACTGGGATTGGGGACATTTCATATTTTTTTTTACTTTGCATTGAACAGATCCCTAAAAAGACAGTAGCTCTTGTCTGCCTGAGCTGACTCTCAGAAAGAAGAGCAAGGTGGAGGCTGCCCTGGAGCATCCACAACCTCAGGTAAAGTCACTGTGATCATAGTTTGCTCATATTGTCTTACCCTCCCACAAAGACAGACACACACATGCACACACACTAACGCACGCACACACACCCCCTTCCACCATGGAGGAAATCTCTGCAACAAGAGGCACTTGAATGATATTTGGAGAGTTCCCGTGAAAAGGCCTTCCCCTCACAGTGAAGTGGGATCAACGAAAAAGAAACCAGGTGCTCAGGACTCCATCTCTTCTTGGTCAAGGGGTGGTGGCACAAAGCTGATGACTTCATCATAGGTCAGACCTAGAAATTGGGAAGGAAAATTAAGATGTGAGAGTTTAGGCTATTCTCTTTGCTGGCAAGCACTCTGACTTGAGCTCTAAGCTCAAGATCTTTCGTCCTTGTCCAGGTAGTTGTATGATGGGCTACCTCAATGCTTGTATGTAATAAATATCCTAATGGAACATGTGGTCACACAGAAGTTCAAGGAGACATAGAAAAGAACCATTTTTTTTTCCTCATGTTTTTCATTGCTGAGTGCCTCTTTAAAGCTCTCTATGGAGGTGCTCAAGAATAATGAGCACTCTCACAAGCTATAGCAACAGATAGTCTTGACTCTTGGGATTTAACAGTTCTGAACTTAAGTTTTATGGAAAGAATATGGGACTGGACACAGGATACATGGGTTCCATTCCTGGCCATGTCTCTAACTAGTTCTAAGACATAAATTCTCTTTGTCCCAGTTCTACTAAATGTAAAACTGTAAAAAAATCCTATTCTTTATTTAGCTCAGAGAAATGTTGTAAATGCAGACTCTGAAAACCTCAAATCTCCGAGCAAACTCCTATGTGAGGGGCTGTGCATAAAATCGAACCAGATATAAGTATCTCAAAAGTCCAGAGAGTATCATTGTCTTCGACAGTTTCCACCAGAGAACATATTCATCCTGCATTAGAGACCTCAACTACAAGTGTTAGCAAGTTGATTATGACCATTCAGGGTTTTCTTCCCATTGCTTTTGGTTAGTGATTCAAGATGTTAATGCTACCCTTAGGACTTACTTTTCCACTCATCTATAAGGAGGTCCCTGCTTTCAAAGGACTGATCGTAAGGATCGGCCACTGGTTCATCATCAGGATCATGGTACTGAGCAAAGTAGGCATGTGCAAGGGCTTGGGCTGCTGTAATTCTCTTATCTGAGTCCAATACAAGCATCTTCTCCAGCAAGTCGACAGCTATTAGTGCCATAGATGGGAAGAAAAATAGAGTTTTTAACATGCTACAAAAAATGATGCCTCATTAAGCAAACAGTTTTGACCCTTCATATCCAAACAAATAATTCTCCTCCAAAATGCCTACTCTAGGATATATTAGCCCTTTTCTATGTGTGTATAGCTGTATTTTGTATGTTTTCAAAATTTTTATTTTTTGATTCTAGGGTACCATGTTCATGTTTGTTACATGGGTTTTAACACAGACTGATGGGGACTGGGCTTCTTCTAGTGGACCCAATATTTTTCTACCCTTGCTCTCCTCCTGCATTTTGTATTTTAAAGAATATGTTACTAAAGAAGAATTTTTTTTTAAATGACTGAGATTCTGTCTCAACAGGCTTTTGTGGAACGTCAATGTCAAACTGCTACCAGTGTAGTCAAGCTGTATTAAAACAAAAGCCTACAGCTAAAGTAATCTAGAATAGGTAGGCAGGGCTTTTTTGTTTCTATTTTTTTGTCCTCCTTCATTGTTTATTTACTAACATAAGGCAAATAAATGTTCATCAAACAGATCTTCAAACAGTGAACAAATTGAGGGCTTTACATGGTGATGAGGGTGAGACATGGTATTTAAATCAAAGGGAATTTTATTTTTTAAAATTTCACTATGAAAAATTTCAAATATGCAGAAACAGGAAAGTAAAAACAATGGTAAAGTGAATACTCATATGCCCAGCATACAGATTCAACAATTAACATTTTTACATTTTTTTATTTCTATGTATTTTTTTCTGACATGACAATTTACCCTCCCCAAATATTTCAACACAAAGACATCTTCCTATATAATCATAATACAGTTATCATCTCTGACAAATAATTTCTAAATATCATCTAAAATCCAATTCATGTATAAATTTCTTCAATGTTGTCTTTTAGAACCAGTTTGTTCAAACCAGGATTTAATTAGGAGCCACGCACTCCAACTGACTGGATTTCTTTAGTCTCTCGTAGTCTATAGAATAATCTCCCCACTTCTAAGCCCTGTTCTTTCCTGATTTTGATCTAAAGAGACCCTCTGGTTGTCCTGAGAATGAGCATTTCTAGGAATGTGTCCGATTTTGCTTCTTCTGCTGTCATGTGTCTATACCCTGCTTTCTGCTATCCCCTGTACTTCTCCAAAACCAGAAGTTAGGTCAAAAATTTTTTTAATAATCAGGTTAAACATTTTTGGCAAAAATACAGATGATGCTGTGTATGTGATAGTGTATTAAGACCATCTGTCCCACTACTAATGAGCTAAAATTGATCACTGGGTTAAGATGTTTCCCCTTTGAACAAACCGAGTAACCTGTGGGATATTCTGGTATCAGGTCAATATCTGTTCCTTTCACTTACGGTTTTTTGCATTCAATGGGTTTCCATCCCAAAAGCAATTATTTCATAAGGGGTTACAAAATGGTAATTTTTCTAACTCTATCTTTCAAATGAGTATGTTTTGTGTTTCAGCATGGCAACATTTGGGAGGATAAATACTGCCACATAACCAGTTATCACTATGGTGAAACAAGCTTTTGAGACTTTGCAAATTATAAATATGGAGGGGGTGAGGGTGAGTAGTGAAGAAGACAGCTTTCTAAAGAGGTCTACTGCTGTGTACGCCGGAGGCTGTAAAACACCCCTGCTCTGCAGCTTGAATTCCAGAGTAATCCATTGGAGAAATATGGGCTTCAGGAGGATACAGAAACAAAGTGAACAGTCATGTGTCAATTCCAGCTCATAAGTTTACACTTTAGAGTACTAGGTGAATGCCTGGAGATGTGTGTGTATACACACACACACACACACAAACGAATATATATTCTTCTGATGGTCTTCTCTTCTTAGAAAAAGAAACCTTATCAGCTGTTGACTTTATAATTAAACATAGATTATATGACAAGTCTCTGCCACCCCTAGGGAAAAAAGTGCCATATTCTTATAACCAATAAGGTCAGGGGTAAGAAAAAGATTCCTCAAAGATCTTATTAGATAGGCATGGTGGTTTGTGCCTGTGGTCTCAGCTACTTGGGATAGGAAAGAGGAAAGATCACTTGAATGTAAGAGGTTGCGGTTATAGTGAACTATAACTGTGCCACTGTACTCCAACCTGGGTGACAGTGAGATGCCATTTCTTAAAAAAAAAAAAAAAAAAAAAAAAAAAAAGACCTTGACAGATAAATATATACACTAACATCAAAGGGTAATTTAAGTTTTAATTCATGTTTTGGGAATAGCAGTGAAACAAAGTCAGTGGCTGACAAAATAGAGCTGTTAATATTTATATTGCTGACATGCTCCTGCTCAGTTAACATGCTGGGCACGAGCTTCTGACAGTAGCACTGTGCTCCATCTGCCCAGCAAGGGGAGCCTCATTATATGACATCACTGTTTGGCAATGGGCTGTAAGGCACATTTAAATGCTGAGAAGTACAGTGCTGAGCACCAGATGGACCAAAGCCTCCATTCAACTCATTAGCAAAGTGGTATCCAGTTCTTCTGGAAGTTTAAACGTCATGATTTCAAAGAATGGGAAGACCTATCAGGAGGTATGTGACCTAAATAAGCTGCTGGAACACAAATATCTCCCCTCTCCCCGCAAAAAATGAATTAACAAATCTTTTTGAGTCTGTTAACAGGGTGTCAGTGAGTACTGCCATGTTTAAAACTTAGAGGTTATAAATTGAAACAAATTCAGAACAGAATGACAGACAAGAGCTAATAAAACATCTTTTCCCAAAATCCTGTAGTAATTATTGCTCAGAGAGAGCTTCTCATAGATCCCAGAATTAGATAACAGAGCTCAAATAAATCACACAAAGCCAAGGAGAGCATGCCAGGGCAGATGCAAACCTAAACCAATCTCAGTAGAATCCTACCGACCCCTGATGAGACTGTGGATTCATCCTTGGGCAGGAGAGCAACCCCGCTGAGATATGACATACTCTCCATCTCTGAAGCTGACATGAACTCAACCACAACTGCCCAATATTTCAAAGAGCATGACCATCTCTGCTATTAAAAGAATTATCACAGCGACACTAAAATTCCTCTTCATAATCACTATGGATGAAGTACTTAAAAAGGTAAAATCACCTAGCCTTCACCCCTACTTCTTAAGAGGTTAGCATGGCTGTCAGCTCTCAAAAAGATAAATCTGAAGCATAACTGCCAAGACCCTTAAGCAGAGAGATGATCCACACAGATGTAAAGAAATGCATTGAGATTTTAAAACATGCCACACAATACAATCTTCAGAATAGTGAGAAGGCAGATTATACCCATTATCATAGTATAGCTTCCTTCCCTATTGTAGGGAGGTCCTGGTCTGATCCTTCTGTCTCTGCCATTAAACAGCACTGTCCACTGTACTCTTATTCTAGAGTCAGAGAATGAGAGGCAAAGCAGCTTTCAGGGGCCATCTGAAGCACACATCAGTCCTCCCCTTCAAAGAATATAGTCAGATACACACAGCGGCTCATGTCTGAATCCCAGCACTTTTGGAAGTTGAGGTGAGCAGACAGCATCAGCCCAGGAATCTAAGATTAACTTGGAGAAGATGGTGAGACCCTGTCTCTACAGAGAACTCTTTAAAAAATTAGCCAGGCATGGGGATGCATGCCTGTAGTCCTAGCTACTTGGGAGGCTGAGGCAGGAGGATCACTGGAGCCCAGGAGTTCAAGCTTGAGCTATGATTGTGCCACTACACTCTAGCCTAGGTGACAGAGTGACACCCTGACACTACAAAAAAAAGAATAAAACAACTCATTTTTTAGCCAAGGCAATACATATCTTCTGCTGTCACCATCACTTCCTTCTGCCAAGGATCTTGAAGGCAATATGAAGCCACTCTAAGTTTAGGTAGCAAATAATCTCCACAGAGAGGAAAGGATGGTTACGCCTCTGAGAGGCAGAGAAAGAAGAGGGGAGAGGAAATGTACATGAGTGTGGAAGGTGACAGGATGTGCAGCAACGGCAGCTACCAGTGGAGAAGAGCACCCTGCAGGAAGCTCCTGGTGGCTCCTCTAAACACCCGCCTGTGCTTCAGTGGTTTCTATCCTCCACTCGGGGACACCATAAATCCACAGCAGTTGTGAATAAGTTATAGGCTTTCTTCTGTACCTGCTTCTTCTTGCCTCTCCAATCTTTTCTCTCAACATTTCCATTACTCTATCTCCTTTCTCCAGTGTACCCGTCCATTCTCCCAACCCAAAGTTCTGTGATCACATAAACATATAAGCATCTCATGTGATTAAAAAAAAAATCTGACAACACAAACAGATAACAAAAGCCACATTTAAGACCTTCTAAGGTTCAACTAATGATATTTTATTTAGTCAAAAGGAGAAAATCTTCTTCAAATCCCTAATTTATATCATAACTAATTCAATATCCAGGAGGTGAAGCTATGGTCAACTTACCCAGGGGATTGGCACCAATAAATACATTTGCAAAGTTCATCTTCGGCATCTGAGTCAAAGACTGAATATAGTTTCTTGCCTGTAAAAACAAGGGTTTTCAGAATGACTTTGTTCAATAATGTTACTGCCCTCAGAGAAAGAATCTTGGTCCTGCTAAAGAAGAAGTATTAACTGACAAAGTCCACTAACTCCAATGTTTATAACTGTCTTTGATAAAACTTCTCCCTTGCTGCCATCCTATCTTCCCTAGTTACGATCATCACCTTTATTACTGCTATCTCTCACAGTTGCATTTCAAGTGAATGAGAATATTAATCAATCAAATTCTCTTTCATTAGCTTTCTGATCACAGGATGAGTTTAAAAACTGAGGCCAAGATATAAAAGAAGTGGCCCTTTCTGAGACAGCCTTCTCAAACAGCTAAAATCGGTAGAGGGGTTGGTATTCACAAAGAAAGTCTTGGACCAGCAGTCTTTTGAGAGTGCTGACTTCAGTAGGTGCTCTTAATACATCAAAGTATGTCAACATTAAGCCTTGCTAACAAAGTAACACTGGTAACAAAAAAAGTTAATATAAACTTAATGTAACAGTCCTACCTCATAAGTTAGAGTGAAAATTAGAACCCACTACTTTCTTAACACAGTACTTGGTTCCAAGTGAGAGTTCAATAAACATTATCTGCTATCCCACTATCACCTTCTGAAGCAAAGTCTGCTGTCTATCTTAACTACCTCTTTAAAATTCCTGTTTTAATACAGGCCAACAGTAAAAGTATGCATGTATATTTACGTTTATACATACATACATAGGTTATAAAAAGTTCTGGTTGCCCGGGCATGGTGGCTAACACCTGTAATCCCAGCACTTTGGGAGGCTGAGGTAGGAGGATCACTTGAGCCCAGGAGTTTGAGACCAGCCTGGGTAACATGGTGAAATGTTGTCTTCAAAAACACAAAAAAATGAGCCAGGTGTGGTGGCACATGACTGTGGTCCCAGCTACTTGGGAGGCTGAGGTGAGAGGATCACTTGAGCAGGGAGATGGAGCCCAGGAGGCTTCAGCCCAGGAGGTGGAGGTTGCAGGTGAGCTAAGACTCTGCCACTGCACTCCAGCTGGGATGAAAGAGTGAGAGTCTCTCTTAAAAAAAAAAAAAATCTGGTTGCTCAGGCAAGTTTGCCTTCTGTATTTTATATTTTTGTTTTAGAGACACAGTCTCTGCTCTGTTGCCTAGGCCGGAGGTCAGTGGCACAATCACAGCCCACTGCCTCAGCTTCCCAAGCAGCTGGGAGTAGAGATGTGTGCCATCATGCCCTAATTTTTAAACTTTTGTAGACCTGGGGTACTGCTGTGTTGTCGGGATGGTCTTGAACTCCTGGGCTCAACTGCTTCTCCCATCTCAGCTTTCGAAAGTGCTGAGACTGCAGGTGCATGCACCACCTCCAGCCTTCACCTTCTAAGTTACTACATGTTGAGTCAGGAGGAAAGGTTTTGCTTTGAAAAGCAACTAAGAATCTTTCTGATTTGAAAGGAAAGTTTTAGGAATTAAATATATAAATGGCTGTAATCCCTTTCTACTTGAACATGTAAATGAAAAGATGAAGGGAAAACAGATAACAGAGAACTATCTCATTCAGAGAACAGTCATCCCTTTAATAAAAATAAAAGACTACCTGAATATAGCTGAAGTAGAAACAAAGCTGCTGGAAGAACCCTCTGTGATGCCAACCTGGTTCCCCAAAATATTAAGGCTGTCTTAGAAAGAAATAAGTGCCCCAATCTCCCCTGATAATAAAGCAAGAGTTACACTAAATAGTAAAGAATAAAGAAGGCACCTAACCATACCAAAGTGTTCATATTTATTCTATATTATTTGTGTCTTTTCTTTTAAATACAGTACATATTAGTACTGGATATTTCAGTTTTTAACTTTTTAAAATAACCTTCTTTTGGTCATGAAAAAAAAGTGGATGAATCAGAAAGCATGCTAAACAGTTAACTACACTTCTGAAGGTCATGATAGTAGCACATCCTAGCTACAGGCATAGCACCTACAAAGAAACAGCCTCATGAGCACTAAATTCACAAAACCAAATATAAAAATAACAATTTTCCATTTACAAGCTTACTAGTTATACTCCCAATATCACAGGACTGGATGACATTTTATCCCAAAAGTCAACATCTTGCAATAGCACACAGGCAGCCCTCGAGGCACATGCAAGCATTCAGTGATATTAAAAACCGTGTTGGTTATACAGTGGCAATAAAATGAGAATGTGGCTTCTGAATGCGACATCCCTGTACAGTCTCTTTGTTCTCACCTCATGGCTTGGCATCCTATTAATGAGATAAGCAGGGGGTGTTCCCGTCAGACGCATAATCTGCTGAAGCTGGTTAATATCTTAGATGCCTAGTCAAGGGCATTGTTAAACATACAGTGCAAAAAATAATTTTCAACTCAAGTTTTTAAAAAGGTCAAAAAGCCACCCCCAAACAAACAAACAAAAAAACCTATCTACCCTTTACCCTACCCGCGAGCCCAAGGCTGCATGTTAAAAGCACGCTTCTGTGAATGACATGAATAACTAGGCATGTAGCCAGTGACTGGCCATGCAGATAAGAAAAATTACTTTTCTTTGGTTTTGGCATCATCTTTACTGTTAAATATTTTAGGTTCCCTGGAAACAGACTGCCCCTTGATCCAGGATGCCAGCCAGAGAACTGTTTTCAAGCACTGATGGCCAAAACCTATTTGTGGGAGAAATATAGATGATTCCAAAAATTTTGACTAAACTTTGAACAAAATAAAATATCCAACATATTTACTCCAGGAAGAGACTAAACTTTTTCAGCACAGGTTCTCCAAGGTACCACCCCTCCAAATTAAGATGCAGGTGGGCATTTGGGTTAATAAGCAACGCCACATTTCAAAGACGTTAGTTAGTGGTACATTTAAAATACTTGCCACAGACACAAAATGGTAAATGAAGAAAGAGGAGATGGGGAGAAGGTTAGAGGCTAATGGCAAAGGCAAAATAGACATCACAGGCTGCTGACAGTGTTATAGCATGCCCCATGATTTCCTCCATAAGTCTCTTCAACAAGTGAACAGACTAACCTCACTTAACATACAGCTGGAGGGAAGTCTGCAAAATACTCTGCAAGTATCTGACAAGGGCAGAGCTGAGATTTTCTACATATACAGGCACATACACAAGCTGTACTATTCTCTTTTAACTGTTCCATCAATGCTAACACAACTCACCCTCTTCTAAAATATTGTAAGAACTGTTTATCATGTTCCTGCTAAAAGCAGAAGTGATGAGATTTTTAAAATCTTCAGTGTAATTCAATAAACCCCTTTTCTCTTCCCTTTTAATTAACTACTAATTCCCTCGTTCAGGTGAAGCGTCATCTTCAATAAGCACCACGGCAAAGCAATTTTACTTCTTTGTGGCTTTCCTGAATAATTTTTCTACTTGAGGTCCTCCTCTGAAATGAACTCCCTAGTGGCCAGATGACTTAGCAGTAATCTGTTTAAGGCTGGCCATCAGAGAGTGAGAGCCATGTGCTCCACGATGCCTTTCATGCTCCCTAAGCCCAAAGGCAGAGGCCAGTACATTCCAAAGGGGATAGGAAATACACTCTGATTTGTGGTCTTTTTAAGAATAATAGATCAGATGATGGAATTCTTTATTTTGTCAGAAGTTAAGGTAACAGAATTTAGAGTTACCTTTAACAAATCACATAACGAACAATACTTTTCATGCCAAGAGAAATAACAAAAAGGGGCCACAAAGTAAACCAGCAATAGCAACCTAGCAGCTGAGTCTTAAAATGTAAAAATCCTGCCACCTCCCCCTTCCTTTCTGTGAATGATACCTGGCCTGCACATTTTCTGTCTTTGTCTCTTTTAGTCAAATAGGTTAGTATATCCCCTTTCCTGTCAGGAGGTTAGCAAGATTATTTTTCTGGAGGAAAATGTGAATGAGCCAGGTCTTTGCTTTTTTGTCTAATTTAATTAATTACTTTATTTTTAGAGACAAGGTCTTGCTCTGTCTCCCAAGTTGGAGTGCAGTGCACAATCACAACTCACTGCAGTCTCAAGTGATCCTCCTGCCTCAGCTTCCCAAAGTGCTGAGATGACAAACATGAGCTACTGTGCCCAGTCTGCTTTTGCTTTAGTATGATTTTCTTGTTCTTTCACACTTTATTACAGATACTGGGACATCAACCAAATGACTTCTCTATCTTTGGCGTCCATCATGAGTCATTTATACCTTTTGCTATGGCTCATCCTAATAGGTTCTCAATCCACACTGCATTCTCTTACTCAGTGTTCAATTTCTTCATAATTATTGGCATCCCTACTTCACTCTTTCCAGGAAAATGAAAATAGCAGTTGGCTTTCTATTTACAGCACTCCTTCACTAATGTCTTTTTTCCTTTTTTTAATTTTTAAAATCTCTGAACAATTTTACTCACCTGGCCTTATTTTTCCATTCTGTTCCCATGTATCATGTACTTCTAAGATAAACAGGTACTTGGGCAGTAAGATGAACGTCAAATTAATCTTGTCTACCCCTTAGGATGTTTAAACTACTTTTATCCACTTGCCACAATTATGAAAGGGGGAAAAAAAAACCCCACCTTCTTATTCCTACACTCAATATAATATTATTTTGATTAAGTTCTGTATTCTGGTACTCAATTTCAGTAGAGCTGTTGAAATGTATACTGTGCCTCATTTTACAGAGGGACATCCCATTATTAGGCTGTGCACCCAGTGTTTCTTTCTTAAAAATAAGTGATGGATTAATGACAGATAAATACTATTGCATTTACCCATACTTTGGTTTGAATACCTTGTGACTAACAGCATATATCTATAGGGCAGATGGTTGGGATGGAAGAAGAGACTAAGAAAGGGCTGCTAGGAGCCACTCTCAGGAAGGAATGAATGTGCTTAGTCTCATTAGCACTACTTATTAATTGAGCTCCTTCCCAGCTCTCCCTCTGCCCTTAGGTCCTCTTTACTAGCCAGTCTTTCTAAGCAAAACATTTTTTTTTTAAAGTAAGCATCAGCTGATATCTTTGATTCATTCTAATCCAACTTCTATATATCATAAAGGAAAAAAAAAATCTCTTTAGGTTGACATTGTTATAACATTGACAATGACTTTCAAAATAGTGTGTAATCACATGAGATTATAGTTTGGATCACGATATCAGAACATCTGGGATCTATACTCAGTGCATGACGTGAAGAAGTCACTGCCTTACTGGGCTTTTGCTCATCTTAAATAAGTAAATGAAACAAAATTCACAGTGGAGGTTGAGAAATGCACTGGGCTGAGTGATCCTTTCAAGAAAGGTACCAGATACATACCAGATGATGATATTCTTTATTTTGTCAGGAAGATGATGAACAGTTCCAACTCATCTGCTTATGCCTGCCTTAAGCTACCCAGCAGTCTTCCCAACTGGGCAAAGGACTCCTTCAGTCATAAATATTGGGAGGAGAATCCAGGAAGGCATAACTGGAGCTTGGCTCCATACCTGTTTTTTTTCTTTTGTTCAACTGCCTGGCAGCAGATAGAGGGAAAAAGGAAGAAAAGCTGGGCTTACATGGCTTCTCTCATGCCTCTGGCCCAAGAAAATGACCAAGAGCAGGAAATCGTAGCAAAAGTAAGCCAGAATCACATTCCTATGGCTTCTAAGTCCCTGCTTAGAGGCAAGAAAGCACTAGCCCCAAAACCTTTCTCGAGTTATTTAACTTATAATTACAAGGCTATAGGAGGAAAATTTATAACCACATTCCTGTGGATCTCAGGTATCAGGAGTGGAGTTGTTTCTTAGAAGGGGTCTAGGGACTGGGTAGAAAGGTACCTCTGCTGGGAACAAACACTTTACATAGGATGTGTAAGTATCTATTTTAAAACAATAGAAAGTAACTTCTGGAAAAAGGCAACGGTGTGCAGACAATGTACACTTTATTTTTTTAGTGATTAAGTTAGACTGAATACACGGTGAAGCTGATGCTCTGAGAACAAACACTAGAAAAAGTGAAAAAAGCTCTACGGTATATGTGAAACTTCTGAGAAAAATCAAAGTCAAGGCTTGAGGACAGAGACACAGATTTTGCATTAATCTCTTGGAATTAATTAGAATCTCAAATCTCATTGCTTTACTCGGATACTATTGCCTAATAGAGGCTCCCATGATCTTAGTATACACCCAGGTAGAGAATAAAACACACTTGTGCATGCAAGCAGATACACATGCATGCATGCACACACTCACACTCTTATACCTCACTCATCCGGGAAGTCAGCACGCAAAGGGCATGTGTGCTTACAAACACACTCAGGTCAAAGTACAGACTGGTAGAAGGCAAGTGGCAGAGGCTCCCAACAGGGCAGATAATTACAATCAAAGCATCAACTCACAGACTCTGAGGAGATTTTCTTCAAAAGCTCAGCCCCTGGGGTTCCAACGAGTCTTAAAATGAGCTTCAACTGATCAATATCTAATGGTGGACCATAAAGGAAAATGTTGGGACAAAATAAAAATGAAAAACAAACAATGACAAACAAACAAAACACTCAGAGAACAGAAATGAAAAACCCCAAACCTTGCCAACACAGTGAATTCCTCTAGGTCAAGCCTCCTGCAGGATGATCACTTCACGGACATGCTCCTCCTGTACAGAGATTCAAAATGCTACCACATACATATCCACTTTATATATAATTTGTGCATCTGTCAACAGCATGTATCAGTGAAGTGAGAGGCAGCATTAGCTCGGTTCTTAGCACCCAAAGACAGCAGGTGAAAACACAAGAGCTTCACTCAGTCAACACCACCCTCCTCATCTGCCATCAAAGTATCAGTAACCAGTCCAGCAAAGAGCACTGGTAATTAGAGGGCCACAGATAAGAGAAAAGCAGCAAAGGCTGGGCGCAATGGCTCATGCCTGTAATCTCAGCACTTTGGAAGGCTGGGGTGGGCAGATCACCTGAGGTCAAGAGTTTGAGACCAGGAGGCCAACATAGTGAAACTCCCTCTACTAAAAATATAAAAATTTAGGCCAGGCACGGTGGCTCATGCCTGTAATCCCAGCACTTTAGGTGGCTGAAACAGGTGGATCGCGAGGTCAGGAGTTCAAGACCAGCCTGGCAAGAGGCTGAAACCCCATCTCTACTAAAAATACAAAAAGTAGCCAGGCGTCATGGCAGGCACCTGTAATCCCAGACACTCAGGAGGCTGAGGCAGGATAACACTTGAACCCGGGAGGTGGAGGTTGCCATGAGCCAAGATCAGGCCATTGCACTCCAGTCTGGGCAACAAGAGTGAAACTCCGTCTCAGAAAAAAAAAAAATGCAGCAGAGCACAGGAGCTAAGGATGTACAAGTTTATTTATGAATATTCTTCCAAGTATGACCTAAAGAGCTTATGATATGACAGTAGGAGGCCTGTAAGACCCCAAAGCCTGACCACTGGAGCACACCCTCTGGAAAGCCTCGCCTCTCACACTGGCTATAGTAGGCAGAGCACTGTGAGTGACAGTCGCCAGCAGACGGCGCTCTCCCACTGCAGGTTCTTTCAGGAGCACCGTAAGAATGCAAACACACAGGCGGTTTCAACTTTACACAATGTAAACGAACTCACAATGCTTAACAAACTTCACACATCCCAAAGGCTCTAAATATAGGCCACAATGCCAAAACTTTTATTCTGGTAGCCAACACTTCAATGTATGCTCAGAAGGTATGTGCATGTGTTAACCAGAAGACAAAAATTTGTTTGTTCTCTTTTAGTCTTACCTAAAAAGGAAATTAAAAAGAGGAGAAAACATGTTATAAAATAGGTTTTAATATTTCCTCTGAAAATGTGAGCCATTTATCCACGTCTATACTGACTGACATTCCGGGGAGGGAGAAGGGGAGGATGACTGTGTTCTGACCCACCAGGTTTTTCACATGACTAAATCCTCTTGGCTTCAGGTCTCAGCTTCAACTTCACCTCCTCAGGGAGGCCTCCCCTCAACACTCTATATATGTAACCCCCTACCCTTCAATTCTGTCTCTCAGCACCACACTTGATAACATCATTGTGCTTATCATAGCCTAGAATCACTTTATTTGCTTACCGTCTGCCCCCTGTACTGGTCTACAGCTCTATGAGGGCAGGGGCCACTCTGCCTGTTCACCACTTATCCCTAGCCTAACATCTGGTATATGACGGGCAGTCAAAATATTTGAGGAAAAGGTAGAGCAGGATGAAAGAATTTTTAAATTATGATTATACATATAAAGGCAACATAGCAGCACTTAAAAACAGCCTCTATAAACCATAGGTACCTACATTATAGGAATTACTTATAATTTGACATCTTGTCTTTTCTTTTAGATGTGAAATCAGCTTAAATGGAAGAAAATTCTGGACTGGAGTCAGCAAACCCCCACCTCTGCCTGTTTTATATATAAAGTTTTATTAGAATACAGCGATGCCCATTCACTTATGTACAGTCTATAGATGTTTCCACATTACAACAAGCACAGTTATCCTATGGTTCCCAAGCCTAAAATACTTATTACCTGGCCCTTTCAGAAAAGGTGTGCTAAACCCCATCCTAGACCAAAACACTTGTGTTCTTTAGATAGCAAAGATAAACTAGAAACAAATCCTCTCACGTAAGTTATTTCTAAATTAAGAATAGTAGGAAATTTTGTCATCTGCAAATGGCAAAAATCAGTGTGTTGTAAAAGTTAAGATTTTAATACTGACTTCTCAGTTGAAAGTGTTGACAAGAAAAAAATTTAAAAGCATAAGTTCATGGGGACAGAAGAGGTGTGTGGGTGGGATGGATACTGTCTTGCTCTAAAATAATCAGATTAATTACAATAGAAATTAGTATAAAATATTCTTGATAATTTAAAATGACTCAATTTACAAAAATTTGGTTCCCTCACACTAACACTCTTCAGGAATATATTTAACTGGGTAGCCACCAGAAGATAAAGTGAAACACGTATGAGAAAAATCTTGACTACTTCAAATCTCAAACAGGTGGCTTTAAAATATATTTGCATCAAAAGTAATCCCTAAAATGAAGCTTTTGATATTGGTATTCTTGTTTACGAGACTTCTGACTATCTACAATGACAGTCAATTTATTTATTTATTTTTGTTTTGTTTTTATTTTCTTTGTTGACAATCAATTTATATACTCTCTCTAAGGAAGACAGAAGGTTCTCTGAGTCGTGAATTTCTCAGCTACCTGAACTTCACTCCAACCTACCTGTAAGAGTATGTAATTTCCATTAGTCACAGTGGCTCATTACATCAATGAGCTGGGAAATCCTCTTTCTCCCACATCTGCTGGCATGAAACAGTATCAGGCCTGAAGAATCAAGCCCCAATTCCGCAGCCTCACACTCACAGCTGTCTGTGATTTGTCAGCAAGCTCCTTTTCTGACTCTGGCTCAAACTACTATTCCTTAATGCACTCAATGCTTCAACTCACACTAGATATTCCAGGTGCCTCTAAGCCTCCAAAGTTCCTATTTATGTAACTCAGAAACCAGAATACTCCCCCCTCTCCTGTCCTTCCAAGCCTTTTCTATTCCTATTTACTCTTTAAAGTCCTATTCAAACAAGATCTCTGCAATGAAGTCTTCTTGGATATCGAGGTAGAATTAAGTTTCTACTTTTTCTCAATATCTTATCTATATTCTAGTGTATTTATCACTCTATCTTATTTTATAATCAGAGACAAACAGTTTTTCAAGTAACTACTGTAACTGTCTTTCCACTGAGTCTGATCATTCTGGTTTAAAGGACAGGTACCGGAACGATCCAAGATGGCCGATCTCGGGATTACAGCTCTCAGTGAAGGCGCGGAGAACTAGAGGATGCCACACTTTCAGACAAATTCTGGTCGCTCACGGAGCAGAAGATCCCCAGTGGAGGAATCACACAGGTCGCCAGCGCGACTCTCGTGGCCGGCACAGCGGTTCCGCTGGCACCTCAGCGCGGCAGCCCTCGGAGCAGAGTAAACAGGTTTGGAGGACCCACACAGGCCCCCAGCACGACACCAGAGCCCCGCGCAGCACCTTGGCGCAGCAGCGCTCCGCGCAGAGTAAACGGGACCGGTTCTCCTCCTGACCGAGGTTTGGAGCCCCAGGAAGGCAGAGTTGCCTACTACGGACACAAGAAGGAAGCCAGACAGGAGAATCCTGGGCAGAAAAGCACCATCAGTTTTAACACCGCTGCTCTGGCCCTGGGAACTAACAACCTGGATGCCCACTCAAGAGACCTAATCTGAAAGTTGGTAAATTCAAAGATGACAGGAGGATAAATTTACAATGACGGGAAGAAACCAGCTTAAAAAAGCTGAGAATACTCAAAGTCAGAACGCCTCTCCCTCTAAAGATGATCACAGTTCCACATCAACAATGGAACAAGGCTTGATGGAAAACGAGCGCATCCCAATGCTAGAATCACGCTTCAGGGAATGGATAATAACAAACTTTGGTGAGTTAAAAGAACATGTAAAGAAACTGGGAACTTTGAAAAAAGGTTTGATGAAATCCTATTGAGAATAGACAACTTAGAGAGGAGTATGAGTGAATTAATGGAACTGAAGAATACAATACAGGAACTCTGAGAAGTATGCACAGGTTTAAACACTCGAATTGTTCAAGCAGAAGAAGGGATATCAGAGGTCAAAGTCCAACTTAATGAAATAAAACGAGAAGAAAAGATTAGAGAGAAAAGGATAAAAAGGAATGAGCAAAATCTCCAAGAAATGTGGGACTATGTGAAAAGACCAAATTTACGTTTGATAGGTGTACCTGAATGCGATGGAGAGAATGAATCCAAGCTGGAAAATACCCTTCAGGATATTATTCAGGAAAATTTTCCTAAACTAGCAAAGCAGGTCAATATTCAACCCCAGGTAATACAGAGAACACCACAAAGATATTTCTCAAGAAGAGCAACCCCAATCGTTAGATTCACCAGGGTTGAAACGAAGGAGAAAATACTAAGGGCAGCCAGAGAGAAAGGTCAGGTTACCCACAAAGGCAAGCCTATCAGACTTACAGCAGATCTCTCAGCAGAAACTCTACAGGCCAGAAGAGGGTGGGGGCCAATATTCAACATCCTCAAAGAACAGAACCTTCAGCCCAGAATTTCATATCCAGCCAAACTAAGCTTCGCAACTGAAGGAAAAATAAAATCTTTTATGAACAAGCAAGAACTCAGAGATTTTATTATCACCAGGCCTGCTTTACAAGAGCTTCTGAAAGAAGCATTACACACAGAAAGAAACAACCAGTATTAGCCTTTCTAAAAATATACCAAAAAAGTAAAGAGCACCAACATAAAAGAATTTACACCAACGAATGGATAAAACAGCCAGTTAACATCAAATGGCAGTAACCCTAAATTTAAATAAACTAAATCCCCCAATCAAAAGACACAGCCAAAACCCAACGGCATGCTACATCCAGACCTGTTTCA